TTATTATTATTATTATTATTATTATTATTATTATTATTATTATTATTATTATTATTATTATTATTAACACAATTTGTGGTCCTTCAATATTACAAGAAAATTTAACGGGATATACCAATAAGGTTAGTAAACGGGGTTTATACCAGCAGCGTTGAATATTCTTCTTGTTTTTCTTGCTCTTATAAAATTTTCTAAGGGCTGGACGCACGGAAAACCCACATTAGATTTTAACTTTTTCTTTTGGCCGTTTTAAGTCCACTGAAGGAAAATACTACAGAGCTTAAGCATGGACGTTTTTGAGAGACGAACGTGAATCGAGAATCGAAGTTTCTCCTCTTTGGTATGTATTATCGACTTTTCGTTAAATCGTCAAATTGTAAATGCTAAAATTAGCGCCGTGTTCATCTCATTTTGCGAAGAAGGAAAACAATCTAAAAGCAAGAACATAAACTTCGAATTGATCGAAAACGTTTGTGCTTGAGCTCTCCATGTCATCTTCTCCAACGTCTGAGCTATGAGACTGATCAATTCGTGATACGTTGAAAGAGCGATGAATTAAAACAGCTTGCACAACTACACATCAGTGAACGAAATAACCTAGGGAACTAGTTAAAACGTCTGTGTTTCGAGAAGGTGTATTAGAACATAATTAGTGTTTACCTCTCTGATATTCCTCTCACACCCTGATGAAAGTGTTTACACAATGACACACATTCTCCCCTTACTTCACGAGACATTTCAACGTCGTCTAGGAACTTATTGGCGACCATCTCCAAGGCGTCTTCTGGCCAGGCCTGCAAAACGAAAGAGAACGAAGTTACATGACGATACAAAATAAGGTGCGAGAAAAGAATATGGTTTATAATGTCGTGAACACGACTCGTGAATGCGTTCTGTGGGGCAGAAATATTGCTAGTCGCTTAATGCTGTAGAAACCTGGATAAGCTACAGTAAGATGTGAAACTTGGCCCGACAGAGACTTAAGTTCTTTTTGAATGATGACCCATTTGCCTCGTAGGAAATGATTTATCTTTTGGTAGCGGAATGACAATCCTTGTATCAATATTTATTATAGAACGAAAAACATTTTGATAGGCAAATAACCAATTCCTGGGCATTTCAAGCAAGGAAGCAACAACAGTTAAGGAGAACAAACTTCCAAAACAGCTGTCAGTGACTTTTGGGCTGGAAAGATGCCCTACTTCTGTGCTACACAGACAGAGACTGTTATACTCTTGTCTAGTGATCACGAGTATCCATGTAAATTTTGCAAATGGGTAGTTTCACGAAGCGGCGCATTTCGGTTCTTGACGCTTCCAACTGAACGACAAGTGTTCCAGACCACAATCACAAACTATGATTTGATTAAGTGGAATGACTAAAGTCCAAATATCACTATTCGAACCAAAGTATTTTTTTCTGTCCACTAGAACTAGACTGTGCATGGAAATCGGAAAATACAAACACAATTCGAATGAAAAACATCACTTCTGTCGCCGCGTTTGCGCGATTGTCCTTGAAATTTTCAACAAAAATTTCTCGCAAAAGTCATCAGTTCGCTGTCACCTGTTTCATAAACAATGGAATTGAATGGGCTAAAGTTATAGCTTGCACATCAGGCCCGGTCCACACTACGCCGGATAAATTTGAAAACGCAACAATCACCGATCATTTTGGATTTGTGTTTGAGGAAAACTCGAGCAGGAAAATCACATGATTATCGAGACAACATCGTTTTCGAAAAGCTCCGTCTTCAAAACGTTTTCTGTCCACACTAAAACGAAAAGCTGCCGTTTTCAGATTCGCCCAGTTTCAAGAGCGTTTTCGAAAAGCTCCGTTTTCGTGACGGATTAGAGCGGACGGTAGACCTAACCGTAGAAATAAAGTTGCGTTTTCAAATTTCTCCAAGGCAGTGTGGACATAGCCTCAGACGCCAAGCCATGAAACCATCCCTTTAACAAATCTAAGAATTTTAACCTGGAACCAATCGATAGTACAGCAGTTGATGAGCGATGGAAACATCCTAAGTCTGTTCCTGAAGGCGTCTCCAATAGGACTCATACATAACACCACGTGCAGGTTACGACGAACACGCTCAATGAAGAAGTTGTACATTGCCAATGGACTCGAATCCACTTTCAGGTTTCTCTCTTGAACGATATTTTGCATCTGGTTAATGAAGAGAATAAAACAACAGCTTACACGAGTCACAAACTTCAAAGCAATGGTCTAAAAGCATCACTAGTAGATGATAAACTTGACGTTAAGAAAGGTAAATTAATCTCCAAAGCAAATTTGGAAAGCTAATGTTTCGAAGAGTTGGCACTTTATTTCCTCTAAACAGAAAATAAAGACATCATTATCATTAAACTTAGTTGGACTGGCGCTCGAAACTTCATATTTCAGAATTGGCTGTTTCTAGTTGAGAGCTTACTGAGTATTTCACGCTTAGTGACGTTTCTACGTCAACTTATAAAAGCCTCAACAAGCAAAGTTAAGTACCAAGTACTGAAGCTTAGAATGTAATTCTTATCCCCTGGTTTATAATCGTTTTCTCCCGTTCTAAAGTAAGCCAGGTGTTTATGCTCAAGATCCCACTGAAAGATTACAGTAGTATCACATTTCTTTACCTGCTCTGTGATTTCAGCTTTTTCGTCTGACTCGTAAATGTTTGGTACATCGCCCGTGTTTAGAATCATGTTGATGTCTTCTAGGAACGCTTCATCCTAGCCAGCGAGTAAAAAAGAGCTAACACAAATTCCACATACACTCTATGTTGTATCAACGAACATAGAGTAACCACATTTTGGGCCAGGAGACACCACGCGTTTTGTTGTTCTCCGGTCAGATAGGCCAATGGGCGCGAACACAGACTTTAACCTTAATGCTCACGCCAGCTGATGATCACCAAACAGGACTAACATCCCGGGGGATGGGGGAATGGAAATACTGCCGATCGATTCGTGCTACGGAAACCGGGGATACGCGCCGGTAAGATCGGTAGTTAGGCTTGAACACAGATTTTACTCTAATGCTTACTTTAATCTGATGATCACCAAACAGGATTAACATCCCGGGGGGAAGTAGAAATATCCTGTAGTCGATTAATGCTACGGAAGCCGGGGACACCCGCTAGTCAGATCGGGCACTAGGCTCGAAAACAAACTTTACCATAATGCTCTCTTTAAGCTGATGATCACCAAACAGGACTAACATCCCGGGGGGAAGTAGAAGTATCCCGTAGCCGATTAATACTACGGAAGCCGGGGATACCCGCCGGTCAGATCAGCCACTAGGCTCGAACACAGACTTTACCCTAATGCTCTCTTTAAGCTGGTGATCACCAAACAGGACTAACATCCCGGGAAAAGTAGAAATATCCTGTAGTCCATTCATGCTACGGAAGCCGGGGATACGCGCCGGTCAGATCCGCCACTAGGCTCGAACACAGACTTTACCCTAATGCTTACTTTAAGCTGGTGATCACCAAACAGGAACACTGTAGACACTCCATCAAAGCCCGCTTTCCGTAGCATCTTCTTCACATCTTCCCTCCAGTCTGTGAATGTGTACGTCTTGGTGATTTCAATTTGGAAGAGTTCATAATCTGACATGAAAGCCGCCAGCTTCGTAGCACTTGCTCGACCTGACCCACCAATACCTAAAAACACGATAAAAAGATTATTAAATCTAAACAGAATAATATTAACGAAGGATTACTGGAATACAAAGACACCTTTACATAGTTACTACCCTTGAACAAAGCAATCAATGTTCAACTTTGCTTTAACTTGTCTTCTTCAAAAGACAAGTCTCATTGACAATGACAAGATGGTGGTCATTAACAACACCGTCATCATACCTATTGCAAACTTAAAAATACAATTTCCCAGGTCCAAAAACCTTTGGATTTCACTAACCAGATAATATATCCTTGGCTTTTCTCTGACCTTGCAAATTCATTTCCCTGATTTTTTTTTCCAGACCTACGACAATCTCACTTTGTGTGATAAAATTTTTACTGTGAACACGTAAGTTGGCTAACGATAGTTGATGCGGTCGACAAACGTTCTAAGAAAACGATAATTCTGGCGTAAAGAAAACGTTACTTCAAGGGTGCCTAAATTGTGAGAAAAGTTCTGCAGAAATGTCAAGATTTTAGCAAATGTGTCGGGCACGGCCCTTAATTTAGCGTTAAATTACTCCGACTGGGGTGGACGCCAGAAGGTCGAAGGGCGAGCCAAGAGAGAACGGAAACTACTCGGAGAAGTTATTAATTTCGGAAGAAAGCTACCGAATACATCAGACTGATTTGTACGTACCTACTAACAGCGCATGTCCATTAGGTTGGCGGAGGACTCGACAGATCCTCGACACGTGTTCAATGGCGAATCTAAACAACACCAGGTCCATTGGAGCTTTGCTTGAGACGTTATAATCTTCTAGAAATCCATCCATTATCTAGAAAAGAAGAGACATAGAACATGCCATTTCCGAAGTCTGTATAACTTGTGATTTGCTGCGTAAGTGTAGTAAAGAAAACGACAGGAATTCCAATTCTCCGCCGTTCTTGTGAGTCATGGAGCTGTTCGCTCTACCATTGTGTGCTAAAAGACTTCCAGCTACCTAGCTTATTTAAATTCGGTAATTTTAAGGCTTGTTCAATTAGCTAACGTGCTTTTCACCACAAGAAATGGCTCAGACTATTGCTCTTTATGGGTTGAACCGATTCCTACAAAAAGGGGTTTATCTTGAATTCCAAAATTACTCTTGTAACTAATAACCTTTGACTGAAATGAGTGTAGATTCAAGACAGCTGCCGTTTTCACAGTGAAGACTGACACGGATTGTCTCAGGTAAGTAGCCGTTTTCACACCTTTGATGATAACCTTCGATTGAAATGAGTGTAGATTCAAGACAACTGCCGTTTTCACAGTGAAGACGGACACGGATTGTGAAAACAGCCCGCACTGCAAGCTCCTCATTACAGTCAAGGGAGCAACTGCTTTGTTCGGTAAATCTTCGTGGAAACGGCGAAAAAGGTTTACGATTCTTATCGGCTAATCAGAAACACGACAGCTTCAAGTCATCAGGATACACTGCTGTAACCTAGCAACCGTTCCGCTGAAAACTACCGGCGCAGGTGGCTCTTGAAGACGACCGCAAAAGCAGCACACCATCATAAGAATCAGAATTATAGTTTCCACTAAATGTTCTTCACTTTAATACACTTTCCCACTTTGTTAACTTAAACTTCATTTTGGATCACTTATAGTTAAAGGGCCACTGAGTTCGCGCCATCTTTAGTCATTTAATAATGCATAGGGGAAAAAACTGAAATAATTACCTAGGGCAGAAAAACACCAAAGAGGCAATGATAAAGCAATAACCGTCGAAGCTGCTACAAAATGAGCGCTCGTTCAAGTAACAGGTGTAAATGTTTCTAAGCAGCTGTAACATTTTAACGAACACTTTTTGCACCGTTTTCGAAAGCGCTTTCCAATGAACTGCGTTACAGTTTGTAACTGTCAAAAAGGAAATAAAAGTCGAGTGTCATTCGCAACCTACCTAAATCTCATGTTATCATCTTGATCATCCTAACTACGTTTTGTTGTTAATCCTTCCGTTCAAACAAAATCCCAGTAATCTGCTTTCAACCTTCGTGCTTTGATGCATTTTAAAAGCGTCTGATTGAAAAGACCGATATATAAAAACAGTCGAATTCTCCACCTTTGGAAAAAGATACAATCGACTGAAAAAAAAAACGAGAAAAACCGAGAAATCAGAATTGAAAATTTGTTCGAAAAGAGTTGCCTTCGGTACATCAAAATGATTTCTACAAATACTAAGTGTATTA